TGATGATGGTATGAAGTGCTATGTAATTTTTCGATTTCGAGTAATTTACAAACATCTGCCATAGTTGACGATAAAAATTCTTGACCTCTATCAGTGACAATGCATTTTGGTATACCGAACCTTAAAATAAAATTATTAACTAGGGCCTTAGCTACAGTAATAGTTTCTTTATTAGGTAAAGGATAAGCCTCTACGAATTTACTTAAATCGCACTGTAATGTGAGAATGTAACCATTCCCGTCTAAGTCTCTATCTAAAGGACCAACTATGTCTAAGAAAATTCTTTCAAAGGCAGTTGTGGCCGTAGTTGTAATTTCCAATGGCTCAACTGTATGCCTTGAGTGCTTCATTTTTTGACAGCTCTGGCATTTTCGAACATAGTTTTGGACATCTTTCTCTAGTCCTGGCCAGTAAAAGCATTTTTTTATATTGTTTATCATTCTACGTACCCCTGCGTGACCGCTAGTGGGCAGTAGATGAAAATCGTTTAAAATAAACTCCTTATCTTCATTCTTATCAATTCTCGTAACACCTCTTAAAATGCATATCCTAGGGCCTAGGTAATTTTCATTATTTTTAACTTCATTTATGACGTCTTTTATAAACATTTCATTACTTTCATTTTTAATAATACATATTTCGTCGACGTTTATATCCTTACAAAAATCACTCAAATACAGCACAAATACGTCTCGCGTGAAATTGTTTTTGTAATCGAGGTTTATGTATATTTTCTTACATTTTGAATTAAATGCAAAACATTTCCATTCAACATCAATTAGTCGTTTATCTCTCATTTTTCTTAACTTTTCTCCTTCTATTAATAACATTTCCACAGAGTTATTTGGAATCCTCAATATCTCCACGACTTGCGGGTGCGCAGGCCGCTCGTCTGTGCATACATTGGGGGATCCAATATCAATCCTATCACTTTCTTCCATTCTCCTCTTTTGTGCTCGCGTCATAACAGTCATAATTTGTTCATTCATCGCTTTCAAATCCTCTGACGTAATTACTATTCGAGATAACGCGTCCGCTGCAGGATTATTTTTACCTTGCACATAAACTATCTTGTAATCGTATTCATCAAGAGCCAATCGAAATTTTAAAAGTCTACTACTAGGATCTTTAATTCCAAATAAATATACTAACGGTTTGTGGTCTGTCATTATCGTAAATGATTTTCCAAACAAATATGGGCGAAAGTATTTTACACCCCAAACGATAGCTAGAAGTTCCTTTTGGATAGTAGGGTAATTACGTTCCGATTTATTTAATGGTCGACTTGCGTAAGCTACTGGGCGCAAATCTTTATTACAAAGAATTGCACTTATCGCAATACCTGAGGCGTCAGTTTGCAAAATAAATTCGCTGTTAGGTGAAAAGTCTGGATATTGAAGTATAGGCGGCGATGATAAAGCTTGTTTTAGAAATTGAAATGACTGATCACAATTTTCAGTCCATACAAAGGGTACATTCTTCCGACAAAGTTTATTTAGTGGCTCTGTTATCTCCGCAAAATTTTTAATGAACTTTCTATAGTAATTACTAAATGCTACAAATCGCCTAACTTCGTCAGAATTTTTTGGCAAAGGATAATTTTTAATTACTCTAATTTTATCAGGATCTGGCAAAACACCATCCTTAGATATCGTATGACCGAGATATAACATTTCCGTTTTTAAAAATTGACACTTGTTGGGGTTTAATTTCAAATTGACTAATCTTAACCTCTCAAGGACATCAATTAAGTTTTTATTATGTTGTGATATATTACGTCCAAAAACAACAAGGTCATCGCAATAAATAATACATTTATCAAACGTAAGGCCGGACATTGCAACAGTCATGACCCGTGAAAAAGCACTAGGGCTTATTTTCAAACCCATAGGTAGTCTTTTCATTTGGTATTGGCCAGTATTAGTCGTAAATGCTGTAATTTTACGACTATCATCTTTTGACGTTAGTCGCACCTGATAATAACTTTGAGATAAATCTAAATGTGTGTAGTAAACAGCACCTGATAGCGAGTCCAATATTTCGGTAATATTTGGAAGTGGAAACTTATCGTCCTGTATAGTTGAATTTAGCTTACGATAATCCACAACCAACCTCCAACTTTTGTTCTCACCATCTGTCTTTTTGGGAACTAAAAGAATAGGACTAGACCATTCACTTTGCGATTTTTCAATAATATCATCTTGTAACATTTTTTTGATTTGCTTTTCAACTTCAGTTTTCTGACTAAAAGGTATACGATAAGGTTTAGTATAAATAGGTTTAGAATCAGGTTTCAAGGCGATAGACTGTTCACATATCGGTGTAGTAGTTAATTTTTCCCATGGTAATTGGAATACATCGGCGTACTTTACACAAATGGATTCTATTGTTTGTCTTTCCGTAGAATCTAAATGATCCAATTTCAATAACGATAACAATAACTTAGCGCGCTGGGAACCGGACTCACATTTCTCAAATGCGCAAATTTCATAGTTGCTTAGCAAATCTAACTCTGGTTTAAAAATAGGTAAAGTAATATTTTTATCGCTAGAATTAAGTATTCGAATAGGAATAATTTTATTTTGAGGTCTAACTATTAAGCTTGCCAATAATACATCTGTATGTAATTGTTTTGGTAGTATAACACAGTCTTGTGTTATATCTGAATCTAATTTTATATAATGAATAGATTCGCAACGAGCTGGTATATGTAACGATGAATTACTTATTTGAGGTATTCTATATAACGGCAAAAATATTTTTTTGTCACCAACAGTGAGTTTTAATAAAGATTTTTCTAAGTCAAAAGTAATTGAACTAAATTGATCTAAGAAATCTTGTCCCAAAATACCTTCTGACTTACAAGGTAATTTTTCAAATACATAAAACTTATGTTGGAAAGTAAAATTGTCAACAGTTCTTAAAGTAAGATAAACATAACCTTTTGAAGAACACTTTCCGCCTATCCCGTTTATAGTAATCCTATCTTCATAAACATGTAATTGATCTCCTAATACAGAGCTACTCACGGCTGATAAGGTCGCACCCGTATCTAAAAGCCACGAACACCTGTTCTCGTTTAAATATAATGTTACATAATTAGCACTGCTTACGTCACATGTTAAAATATTAGGACTGTTGGGATCGAAAAAACTGATTATTATTATTTTCCTGATTATCAGTCGAACCTTCCGTACCCTCAGATTTAGTTGTATCCGTTTTTGCAACGTTTATTTGTTGTTGGCCTCTACTATTGTAAACAACTCGACCGCGATTTGGTCGCGTGCGAAAACCACGAGATTGTCTTCCACGAAATGCGAAATTATTGTACTGAAATGTACGATTCCTGTTAGCATAAGAATTATTGTTACCTCTATTCTGGCTGAAATTACCGCGAAAACCCGATTGGGATCTAAAATGATAATTTCCCCGGCCACGCAATTGTAATGTATGTGACTTACCTCGAATATTTAGGATCGAGTTTGAGGTCGTTGGTTGGGGTTGAGATAACTCCTCGTCCAGGGCTGCTCGCACCGCGTCCTTCAGGTCGGTGTAATTGCGTGCTGCAATAATAGTGCTTAACCTCCTGTTACGTAACCCGTCGGCAAATTTCTTAACTGCCAGTTCCTCATTAATAGGTCGTAAAATTTCAAACGCTTCATTATTCGATTTAGCTTGCGATATAGTTAAATCAGTAAAGAGTTCTTCGAGCTTAGAACCAAAATCCGCAATTGACAAGTCATTTTGGCGTATACTATTTAGTTGAGTCATTAAAGAATTAGAAGATTTCTTTGTTAATAAAAACAACTTCATATCCTTAATCAAATCCGTGCAAGAATCGTAATCTCGCTTAAGTTTAAGTTTGGCGGTTTTAGTTAACCTAGTTTTTAATACAAAAGAAGCAAGTAATTTTTTGCAACTGGTCTCCGTGAGACAACAATCATATAGTTCTACGCTATCGATAATTTTTTCAACGCTTTCCTCTGTACTGTCCATAACCGGCACTAAACTAGCGGCAGTTTTCAAATTAAATTTCTCCATTTTAGTAGTCTGTTCGGAACTTACACAATAAGTTTTTATTTTGCTAAATGTATCTTCTATCCTACTTATTATATCTAAGAAAAATATCTCCGTAAATTCTTTAGTAAACAACTTTTCCTCTAAAATTAACTTACAAAGAGTTTTATTTTCACTATATAATTTTTCTGCATCTAAAAATTTTCTTTTAATGTAATTAACATTCAGTTCCCGCTTACTGGGACCCAACTTTCTTAAAGATACCTTTATCTTTTCAAGTTCGTTTAAGATAGATATTAAATCATTAGCCATCTGATAACTGTAAAATGTTTAGATGCTTATTACATTTCTAACTTAACACATTTAAAACTAAAATATATACGTAGTCGAACATGTGACTTAATTACTACTAAAGAAACAATAGAAAGAGAAAAAAAATTGATGCGAACCGAAGTCGAAGTCATTACATGTCCCGAGGTCCTGCTTCCTGATCACCGTCTCTCTCGTTCTGACTCCTCCGTGCTCCAGACAGCCTCATCCTGATCCGCCGGAATGCATCCTCTCTGAGCTGGTTCTGCACCATAGCCAAGTGACAGTTTCTGTACTGCTTGAATAGTATGTACAGAATAAACGCAGCAACGATTGCCAGGAAAACAGAAAATATAATATTGTTGGTCTGTAAGTGCGTGGACGCATCAGCAGTCGCACTTGCTTCTCCACCACCGTGTTGATTTATGATAACTTCTTTGTTCTCACAGGCACATTTCGAGCATTGTTTCCCCATAGTTATTATTTAACGCGCACTGGCAGGGTCGCCATGTAGTATCTCGGGACTAAGGGGTGTCAAATGACAAACTACTGTTTAGCGTCACGATCCATTTATTACTGCCTACTTTCCAACATAATGATGCTTACTTTAATCTTACACATACTTACACACTAACATGCATATACTCACACCACATAGTAGTAAATGCTGATCATTCTAATTGGTTGGATTATTTAATGAATAAGCATGTTCTATCTCTTGTTTGATTAATTTATGTTCTATATTATATTAATGATAAGATAATCATATACGAAAACGATTGGGATAAAAGCACTGTTGAATTGAACGTATAGTTCAGTTGTAAGGATCGCTATGAGGTCGCTACTCACTTGCCTCGTCACTGTCTGCGTGGCAGCGGCGTGTGTCCGCGGGGACCGGTACCACCCCGCGGACCCTGGCAGCCGAGCTGCTGCCACCGTTGTGAATCGTGCCGAGACCTCTGCCAACTATTGGGCCCAAGAAGCGCAGGCAGCTATCAAAGCCCGGCTGGAGCGCAAAGAGAGCGTCAAGAAAGCACGCAACGTGGTCATGTTCCTGGGCGACGGCATGTCCGTGCCCACACTCGCGGCCGCGAGGACACTGCTCGGCCAGCGGCGTGGAGAAACCGGCGAGGAAGCCAAAATGAATTTTGAAAAATTTCCCACTGTTGGTCTGGCTAAGGTTGGATAAATTTCTTGTATAACTTTCTTCTTATCAAGGTACGACTTTTTCACTTTACGACTTGTTTGGTGAATATTTCAGACGTACTGCGTGAATGCCCAGATTGCAGACTCAGCGTGCACTGCTACAGCGTATTTGTGTGGTGTTAAAACAACTTACGGGGCTATTGGAGTGAACGCGGAGGTGGCGCGAAGGGATTGCGACGCGTCCACCGATACTAGCAGACACGTCGCATCTATCGCCGAGTGGGCGCTGGCAGACGGCCGCGACGCTGGTGAGTGAACAAAAAGAAACCAAGCTAACTTTGCATACAGGCTGGTGATAACAATATTGCAACAATGTGGCATGTTGTCTTAGCTGGTTAATAATTGCAAATATTAATATGTAAGCTGAATGTTTAATGTATTCAGTGAACGCAGCACAAGTGGTCTGTTTTGCTAAGGAACTATTTGTGTGTGTGACTTCATTTAAATAAATATATACTTAGTTCTTGTTCTGTAAGGCAAATCATTAAATATATACCGCACCTCATAATCTTATTTTGGGTTCAGGGATTTTCATTCAAATGCAGGATGGGGCATATGAATAATGAAAACGTAACAGTGTTACAATATGTTTAGGTGTCGTTACGACGACTCGGATCACCCACGCGTCACCCGCGGGAGTGTACGCTAAGGTGGCTGACCGCGACTGGGAGCACAACCAGGCAGTGCTGAACCACGGCCACGATACTGATCGGTGCCCTGACATTGCGCTCCAGCTCGTGCACAAGCACCCGGGAAACAAACTCAAGGTTTGAAGCATTTATTTTATTTTATTTTAATCATGTCTGGTGACTAAAATTTATCCACATTTTTTTTACCCACTAAAGATTTAAATTATTATTTTTTTTTTTTTTTTTATTATTGAACGTTGATACTACTTCATACTATTACTAAGAAATTCTATAACAATAATAATATAATAACAAACATACAAAACAACAGTACTTTGTCCGACACCGTGACATCAATGGAGGGATTTGTTTTAACCTTTTAGATCTAAGCAAGTGCGATTGGTATCACTGCCATACTTATTTCAAATAAAGGTTTTACTACATCTAAATCTTGGTGACGTCTTTTTAGGTTATATTTGGTGGAGGAAGACGAAACTTTTTGCCAATAGACGTCCGAGATGAAGAAGGAGAAGTCGGGCGCCGAACTGACAACCGAAATCTCATCCGCGAATGGTTGCAAGACAAGGAAGATCGCAATGTTACCAATAAATATGTTTGGAATCGTCAGCAGTTAATGAGTCTTAATGATGATCTTCCTGAGTACATTTTAGGACTTTTCGAGAGTAATCATCTTCAGTACAACCTGCAAGCTAATCTTACTACTGAACCCACGTTGACTGAGCTAACTGAGATAGCAATCCGATCCCTGAGTAGAAACGAGAAGGGCTTCTTCCTGTTCGTGGAAGGCGGCCGCATCGACCACGCTCACCACGACAACCTCGTAGAGCTAGCGCTGGACGAGACGCTGGAGATGGACAAGGCCGTGGCGCGCGCCGCCGAGCTGCTCTCAGAGGACGACTCGCTTATTGTGGTCACAGCGGACCACGCACACGTCATGGCTTTCAATGGGTACTCGAGACGGGGACATGACATCCTCGGCCCTTCCAGAGACTTGGACGAAGACGGAGTGCCTTACATGACGCTGTCTTACACTAACGGTCCCGGCTTCCGGGCGCATGTGGACGGCAAACGCCCTAATGTCACCGCCGAGTCGGATTACCGTGAGTTATCTTTATTTGGCACTTGCAGCCCGTTTTTGCTTACAACAAAAGGGTCGATATCTCTCAATTTTCCCGTCTCCTTTTCTAAAATCTCTTTCCTAAGAACAATTTATTTTTCAACACTTACGGTATCTCATTACAAAAAGGTAATTGAAGTGATGATTCAATCACACAGATACCAGGTTATATTAGCAAATCAACTTATTTTACAGGAGGTCTACAGTGGGAGGCCCACGTAGACGTTCCACTGGAAGACGAAACGCACGGTGGGGACGACGTGGCGGTGTTTGCGCGCGGGCCGCACCACTCCATGTTCACGGGGCTGTACGAGCAGAGCCAGCTGCCGCACCTCATGGCGTACGCCGCCTGCATCGGCCCCGGCAGACACGCCTGCAGCGGCGCCACGCACGTGCTGGGCCAGCCTGTCCTGCTCTTCGCTCTCTTTATATTGCTTACTTCACTATTCCAATTATGATCTTAAACATTAGTTATGTTGTAAATATATAATTTAATAATTGACGGCGTAATGTATTTATTGTGACAGGGTAAGGTATGTCAGTCAAGGCTATTGCTTATTTTGTTTAAGACTGTGAAGAATTTTATAGAAATTAAGCTACTTTAAAAATAAGACGATGTAAAAGGTATGATTACATAAGAAACCTAATAAATGTATTAAACTATAGGTACTTGTATTTTTTATTTTAGTCAATTCGACTTATAACAATTAATTATATTCCATTGTTTAATCCAAGCTATGTCAGTAAAAGTCTGACACTCCCTCCCGCCCGGCCCTGGGCGGGAGAAGTCATTTGATGATTTTCTCCTCACAAAAAAAGCTATGTCTACATTAATAATATATGTATGACTGGAGTACTTTTGCTAAGTGACATTGAACATTATGATGTCAAGTGGATACATGAGTAAAAGTTAACTTTTGCCAATCAGATGTGGGGTACCACAAGGGTCGGTATAGGCCCCGTTACTTTTCGCAATTTACACTTATAAATATTCACGCATTCACAATCATCCGCCTCATCCGAAAAAGTATCTATGATCATCCTCTTTTTTATTTCGGTTCCTCTATACAAGTCCTTATAATTTAAGTGTGGGAGAGCCCAGCTTCGGCATGAATGGATCGGCTCGACCGGAGTCATATCTCGGCCGTTGTGTGAGTAAGGCTATCGGAGGCCCAATCCCTCCCCTTTCCCCCATTCCTTCCCAATCCTTAAATATCCGAAACCCTTATCCTTAAAAGGCAGCCTGCGCCCTCGTAACTCCTTTAGTGTTGCGGGATTCCATGGGCGGCGCAAATTGCTTACCATCAGGCAATCCGTCTGCTCGTTTGAAACAGTAAAATAATGAATTTAATTTTGCAAATAGGCCATAAAACGGCACTATCACACGTCAAAGTATAATATGTATACGTAAAAAACTAGATGAAGCCGGCATCACCTATCTGATTACTCTGAGAAGAAATGTCGAAACAAACGCAGAGGTAAGTCTCTTGTCGAGTCTAGACAATGTAAAAATAATATAATGTGAGAGAACCGTGCAAGTTCATTCTGTAGTGGTATTTTGAGGAAATGAGCACATCAGTTTAAGTGGACCCGTTATGACGGCACGTAAGTGTCAGTTTGCAATCAGTTTAGCTAACGGGTGCTGCTGAGTTGTCCGACGAACAATACCGATCAAAAGAACATTTGGGTGGGTTGCGCAAGTACTGAAATGTGAGGACGCAGATAACTGGTAGCCGAAAAGCGCAGCGTTTCAAACGGTCCTTACACTAACAATAATTGCAAAATACTAAAAATAACAATAAAAAAAGTATATGTCACAATAGGTGATAATGTCAAACTGTATAATAAAAAACTGTATAAAAAAGTGCAACTTATGTTACAAACATATATTGTCAACATGACCTGTGCAGACGTTACAGCGGCTCATTGCCAAGCCCAGAAATGCTTTACAGTAAAGTTTACCCTTTATTACACTTGGAGGCTCAAATTTTGAATATCGCTAGGAATTTTATTGTAAAAGTGTATACATTGATATCTAAACGAATCACTTATTTTCTGAAGCCTGGAGGCAGGCACAACGTATTTGTTTTTCCCCCTCGTTTTAATATTATGTATATCACTATACTTCTTAAATAAGCATTTGTTTTTATGTGCGTGAATTACATTTTCGCAAATATATTGAGAGGCAACTGTCATTATTTGAAATTCCTATGATAATTTCCTGAACGAACGCCTAAAATTATTGTAGATTGATTGAATAGCCCTCTTCTGTAGAACAAAGATTGACTGAAAAGAACTGAACATAGACTGAACTGATTGCAGCATTCACTCACAATAGAGAATACCATATGACATGATGTTATGGCAATAACCAAAATAAACTTACCGCGCTGTATCTACATCTGTTAAATTTAAAATTTTTATAACTTCTACGACAGCCAAATATGTAAGCTCCACTGGAGCTTAGCGTCTAGGGTTATATATTATTATTTTTTTATGTAATAAGTCGGCAAACGAGCATACGGATTACCTGATGGTAAGCAATCAGCGCCGCCCATGGTCACCCGCCAACGGAGGAGTTACAAGTACGTTGCCGACCTTTTAGGTATTAGGGTTTTGGAGATTAAGGGATTGGGGAGGGATCGGGGGAGGGGAAAGATTGGGCCTCCGGTAACCTCACTCACATGGCGAAACACAACGCTGTGGTTGTTTCACGCCGATTTTCTCTGAGGCCGTGGTATCACTCCGGTCGAGCCGACCGATTCCTGCCGAAGCTTGGCTCTCCCACACTTATATATCCTATATCTAAAAAGACAGTTGTAATCTACATCACTCAACAATAGGACTAGTTTTTCATATCCCCCATTTATATGTTCTCCGCAAGTTTTTGAGCACATACTTGGCCATTGAAGATTCCTACACAAACTTACTCACAATTATTGTCCTAGTTTTTGGCAATTTCACGCAACTTATGTCGATGTCTGCTTTTGGTTATTGGATTTGGATGACTGTCCATTTTTTCTTGTGTTGGTAAGTTCAGGTGAACTTCCGCAGCCCTTTCCGGCATTCTAATCCAATCCAACCATTCTGCTTTTGAGTTTTGACTTTACTAGGAATCCAACCCTCTGTGGTTCGAAACTAGTACAGTTCTTCAGTATTTTCACGTGAGTAATGAGATTTTTAGTTAATTTCTGTAACTACCACAAAAAAATATGGTATTCTTAAAACCATGTACCAACCATATCGTGAATTGTACAAATTATATTTGAATAATGTGTGTCACGCAGAACGATGTCGTAGTGGCCACGCGGTATGTGAGCCGTGCAGGAACTGAGCGCCTGACTGTCCGTGCTTACACACGCTTCACACGTGTCTGTACTATCTACATGTGGATGCGAATACTGACAATCTCATACTTTTAACTATCTATGTAATTAGATATTTGAATTAAAATAATAGGTTTTGGGATTAATACTCTGTTAAGATTAGATATTATTAATATCTAAATATTATAAAAACACTGTTGAATTGAACGTATAGTTCAGTTGTAAGGATCGCTATGAGGTCGCTACTCACTTGCCTCGTCACTGTCTGCGTGGCAGCGGCGTGTGTCCGCGGGGACCGGTACCACCCCGCGGACCCTGGCAGCCGAGCTGCTGCCACCGTTGTGAATCGTGCCGAGACCTCTGCCAACTATTGGGCCCAAGAAGCGCAGGCAGCTATCAAAGCCCGGCTGGAGCACAAAGAGAGCGTCAAGAAAGCACGCAACGTGGTCATGTTCCTGGGCGACGGCATGTCCGTGCCCACACTCGCGGCCGCGAGGACACTGCTCGGCCAGCGGCGTGGAGAAACCGGCGAGGAAGCCAAAATGAATTTCGAAAAATTTCCCACTGTTGGTTTGGCTAAGGTTGGATTTTTTTAAAGAGATCAAAAAACGAGCACCCCTTCATGTAAATTTAACTTTCGAGATAGGAAACGCATATAATATCGTTATATTACAGACATACTGCGTGAACGCGCAAGTGCCCGACTCCGCGTGTACTGCCACTGCTTACTTGTGTGGGGTTAAGACGAACAGCGGCGTCATCGGATTGAATGCGGAGGTGGTGCGCGGTGACTGCGAGGCGTCTACTGATGCCAGCCGACACGTCAAGTCCATCGCCGAGTGGGCGCTGGATGACGGCCGGGACGTCGGTTAGTCCCGCTACTGCTGTTATTAGCAAAAGATAACCTTCTATTCGTATCGAACGTGTTGTTGTGCTGTGTGCAGGAATAGTGACTACGACTCGCGTCACCCACGCCTCGCCAGCCGGTGTATTTGCCAAAGTCGCGAATCGCTCCTGGGAGTTCGACCACAGTGTGGTGCTGGCTGGCTTCGACCCCGATCGCTGTCCCGACATTGCGTATCAGCTGGTGCACAAACACCCAGGCAACAAGTTCAAGGTCAGTATTATATTTGCTGCCAGCATTGTTGTAAGTTCCCTGTGTATTATTAGGTACTAGTGGATCGGTTTTCTATTAAATTGTTCATCTGTATGGGAGTATCAAATTAAGTAAGTATAAGTGAACATGAAGTCTCACATGTTGATTGAATTAACAGACTTCATGTCAACAAATTTTTCAAAATCACAGTACGTATTGTCAGTTTGTCGCCTGTTCATTGTTATTTTGTTAATTTGTAAATTTGTAACTTTTAGGATTTCAGTAATCTTTCATCTAATATATGAGTATCTAATTTCAGTAATCGTCTACCTATGTACTATGACATAGGTTATAATAAGCGACTGCTGTTAAATTTGTTGCGATTATGACGCTCGAATGTGTGATTTCCACATAATCAGACATATGCCTCCCCAAATTCACGCCACTGAGCTCGATGTTCAGCTCTTCTTATCCAACCATTGCCAGCCACCCTGCGGATATCATCAATCCACCTAGCTGGAAGGCGCCCTACACTACGTTTGCCTAGACGTGGTCTCCACTCTAGAACGTCTACCCCAACGGTCATCGGTTCTTCGACAAATGTGACCTACCCATTGCCATTTCAGTTTGCTAATCCTTTGAGCTACGTCGATAATTTTAGTCCTGTGTCAGATCACCTCGTTTCGAATACGATCCTTCAGAGAGACGCCAAGCTTAGACCTTTCCATAGCTCGCTGCGTGACTTTAAATTGGTGGATCAGTCGCACTGTAAGTGTCCACATCTCGGCTTTGTAGGCTTTGCGGTATTTTCGACGAGAATACGCGACCAAGTTTTCTTTACAGGGTGTAAGGGATAGCCTTCCGCAAACTGATAGTGTGAATTCAGTATATCGTCCACGATGCTTCGGAAACCAACCTATTCAGGGACCTGAAACCCATTGAGTCTGCGCACGAGACGTATTGATTCTGGAAAACAGCTTATAGACGACGAGAGAAGTAGGTCCATAGTTCTGCAGAAGGCATTGTCTCCCTTTTAAACATAATGTCGACACTTAACACACAGATTGTAAATGTTTTGTGCCCTGTAACCCATTAAAATTAAATAAGACTTGTAGGAAATAGATACTTGTGTCCGCTTGGAGCTGTCATGCTCATTCAGAGGTCACATTAGCGGTGACACGAGCACTGGATCGCTCGATTACTATTATGTAGTTGAGCGGTGCTGGAAATAATAACCCCAACGAAAAATATATGAACGAGAACCGTTCATTGGGACCGGACAACTCGAGGCTGTCACATATTATTTTACCTTTAGGTTATTGATTTTTCTGATTCTTTGACTAAATATTAGTATTTCTGTTCTCAAATAAAACCTATCTAAAAATGAATTGTAAGCTGATTGAAAAAGAGTAACCATAGAGTTTCTTGCTAGTGCTTCACCATAGGAATCTACACTTTGAAACACAAAGTCGCAACGTACACTTTGACGCACAAAGTTTGAACTTTTTAATATTTATTTTTTGTGTTTGCGTTCAAAAGTGCTAATAGTTGCCTGTTTGAAATAAATGATTTGACTTTGACCTTGGCCAAGAGATTAGAATACAGTTTTAGTAATTAAAGTATTGTTAACAAAATAAAGTATAGGATACAATTGTAGAAAGATCGGATCGATGAGGAAATTGTACATTCAATTAATGATGTCGTTTTGAACAATTCTACGAAATTTAAGCATGCTGCGAATGATTGTAACATAAAAAATCTAATTTTGCGAGCATACCAAGTGTGGTTCGCTAAGTTGTATGAGATTCGTCTCAATAAACTAAATAATGCGTTTAGAGTAAGGTCACATTATATTATTTTAAATTTCCTCTTACCAATGCTTTATCTCGATTTGATAACTCATAATGCAAAGTGCGTTCGTGTATATTTCAAGTTTATAAATGATTTCTGCTTGCTCTTACTTCTCAGGTAATTCTTGGCGGAGGACGTCGTAATTTTGTACCAGATAATGTACTCGACGACGAGGAGAGGTATGGCAGACGGACAGACAATCGCCATTTGATCAATGAATGGAATAAGGATAAGGAAGATCGGGGAGTCAGCCACAAATATGTTTGGAATCGCGAGCAGCTAATGAGTCTCAAAGAAGATCTACCTGAGTACATTTTAGGTTTATTTCATAGAACTCACATGCGATATCATATGCAATCCAACCCTACCAGAGACCCTACTCTGGCCGAAATGACTGAGATAGCAATCCGATCTCTAAGCAGAAATGAGAAAGGATTCTTTCTATTCGTGGAAGGCGGCCGCATCGACCACGGGCACCACGACAACTTCGCAGAGCTAGCGCTGGATGAGACGCTGGAGATGGACAAGGCCGTGGCGCGCGCCGCCGAGCTGCTCTCAGAGGACGACTCGCTCATTGTGGTCACAGCGGACCACGCACACGTCATGGCTTTCAATGGGTACTCGAGACGGGGACATGACATCCTCGGTCCTTCCAGAGACTTGGACGAAGACGGAGTGCCTTACATGACGCTGTCTTACACTAACGGTCCCGGCTTCCGGGCGCATGTGGACGGCAAACGCCCTAATGTCACCGCCGAGTCAAATTACAGTGAGTTACTTCTATTCAATTTTGCAAATATGTGTAAGGTTACTTTCAGCTAATAGGGATATAAATGAGTAGATTGCTTAATAAAACTGCTTTATTTTCAACCAACTTTACGATCCTGAATTGGTTACAGGAGATTTAGAGTGGCAGGCCCACGTAGACGTACCACTGGACTCGGAGACGCACGGTGGGGACGACGTGGCGGTGTTTGCGCGCGGGCCGCACCACTCCATGTTCACGGGGCTGTACGAGCAGAGCCAGCTGCCGCACCTCATGGCGTACGCCGCCTGCATCGGCCCCGGCAGACACGCCTGCAGCGGCGCCACGCACGTGCTGGGCCAGCCTGTCCTGCTCCTCGCTCTCTTTATATTGCTTACTTCACAATCCCAAGAAAGATATATTTAGTAATATAAATCCCTTTACAGACTTTAAGGGTTATTATATAAACAAGAACGAAAGTAAGGTGATTTTGGATGTTATTGATTCTGGCAATCCAAATTATTTCAAGTTACTATGTTCCGACAGCCTTGTATCAGAACAATGTTATTATGAAAGAACTACTTTAGAAAGTTCTTCAGGGATTTGAGAATTACCTAACACCTATACGAAGCAGAAGCATGCCACTAGTTTGAATATATTTACATATTATATATGCATGGCATAGATAGATCTGTACTATTTGATTGTATTCGTCCGTTGTATTGTCTAAATAGGTTATGGTAATTGTGTTATTAGGACTCTTTCTAAATGTGATAATTTTATTTACATTTTTATTGGAATGCTTCTATTTACCTTAATGCGGGTGCAGATTATCGTATTTTTGACTTAGGTATAAGTTCAAATAAATATATTTTTTCATTCTAGACCAGTTTCTTAATTTCTGCTTTCACCCCATTATCTTTGAACGCACCTTATCGTGTGAGAGTGTACTGGTGTACTTTATTTGATCATTATGAGTTTTTATTGATGGGTCAGCAAACGAGCCTACTCATTACTTGATGATAAGCAATCAGCGCCGCCCATGGACACCCGCAACAACGAAAGAGTTACGAGTGCGTTGCCGACCTTTTAGGGATTGGGATTTTGGGGGAAAGAAATTTAGGGAATGAAGACATGATGTCAAGAATGTCATAATCGTAGTTTGTGAATAAATTGTTACGATTCAGCTCAAATTTACCACTCTTAGGTAAATAGGTAGACCGGAGTATAAATAAACACGTTTAAAACTATGATGTATTAAACTATAGAATTTATTGTGTTCGATGCTGCGTCTAATGGCGGCCAGCGCCTGAAGTTTGTCACGTCAAGTCAGTCGTGACGTGTCGTCGGGTGAGTTTTGGACACTTAAGACATTAGTTTTTTTGTTGTATAATATATTTATCTGTAGCAACAGGCATCCCGCCACAGCGCTGTACACTGTCATATTTTCTCTTACTTTCTTTACGCAGATAAGTTAGTTCTAGTATTGTCGCCGTTTTTAAGCGCTGGAATGTTGGCAGACAACGTGTCTATATAATACGTCATTGATTTTAGCCCACAAACTTAGAATAATAACACCAAAGGACATAGAACAACAAATTTTTTAGTGTTTTGGATCACTGCACCAACCGCACCGTCAAAGAGCTGGTAGCATGGGAACTTTAATAATAGATGAAAATGTTACTGCTATTATGTATTGGGCTCTATTGACAAGAACTGGTATTTAGACACGGGACCCGGTTTATGTACCAGCCGCCATGCTTGCTATCCCAAATATTCATTTATAGGAAGGTACTTGAAACTAAAATTAGGTACAACAAAGAGACGAGATACTCCCCATTAAATACTTAAAAAATAAAAAATAAATCTATGTTTTCGAAAACAAAAATCGTATTTGGCCCGTTGGCTTGTTACTATCAGGGGGACCAGCCAGTACTCATCATGCCATACATCTCTTAAGGCCATGACCAAAGTCAAAGTCAAAATCATTTATTCCAGCTAAACCATAAATAGATACTTTTAAAACGTGAAAATAGAATAGTAGTCTGTCAGTATGTTCGTCAGTGAAGCTAGGTGCTCGTTCCAATTCATTGGTTCGAATGGAGAAAAACGACCAAGTAACTCCATCGTTACTCTTTTTAAAAAATAATATTTGTTTTACAATTTCACTAATACAACATTTAGTATACAGTTTTGTATGTACCTACCGACTATTCCAAAAATTCTATAAGGATCGACGCATAGCTGACCCTGCCGTGGCGACTTGTCTACTATACCCGTCGAAAGTTCGAGTTTTTGGACTTTTAATTAGAGTGGAATTATAATAGTAGTGTGGGATCACTTGTTATATATGAGATTTATACTATTACACCCACGATGGTCGATGATGGTAAGCAAGATTGCGGCTAATCAGTAACTAGGAAGTAGATGAAAAATTGCAAGATTCGATTACAGACGCACAGACGGACACGGATAGGTAAACCTTACGAAAGCTGTAGTAGAAATAGTGCATGATAAGAAGATCCAACCAACCACACAATACACAGCGATGCTTTTGCGTGAGATGTAAGATAATTAGTTCGGAAGGGTGATTTATGAACTGTCCCAATTCATGAAGTTTCACAATATTTGACTATTTTTAGGTGTGATCAAACATATTTGTCCTGTGTCGTGTGTTTACAAAGTATTTCAAAAACACATCACAAAAATGATATTCCAGGTTTGGATGAGATGATGTTCATCCAAAGAGTTGGCCTGTGTGTCTGCCGGTTGCTAGCCAGTGTCAAATGTACACTTTCAAAACGCATACACACGGAGAATACATTAATCACTATAGCCTCCGCCATGTTAGAGGATTTGATATAAGTAATATCCGCAATTGTGCAATCTTAGTACAATAACAAGGCGAGATGGTACGGCGAAAATCAAAACATCAATTCCAATAAATAATGTTATAATTATAAGTTTTATTTGCGCCCAATTTGGCTGAACCTGTATCTTGGCCGTCTTTGAGTTTACATAAATCAGATCTTAATAGTTACGCGATAAAAGTTTGAGAGAGTACTGTTAAAACGGCACCCATGACCACTATATGCATCGGCGATACCAGCACATGCGTGGCGCCGCTGCAGGCGTGTCTGCCGGGGCCGATGCAGGCGGCGTACGCCATGAGGTGCGGCAGCTGGCTCTGCTCGTACAGCCCCGTGAACATGGAGTGGTGCGGCCCGCGCGCAAACACCGCCACGTCGTCCCCACCGTGCGTCTCCGAGTCCAGTGGTACGTCTACGTGGGCCTGCCACTCTAAATCTCCTGTAACCAATTCAGGATCGTAAAGTTGGTTGAAAATAAAGCAGTTTTATTAAGCAATCTACTCATTTATATCCCTATTAGCTGAAAGTAACCTTACACATATGTATTTGCAAAATTGAATAGAAGTAACTCACTGTAATTTGACTCGGCGGTGACATTAGGGCGTTTGCCGTCCACATGCGCCCGGAAGCCGGGACCGTTAGTGTAAGACAGCGTCATGTAAGGCACTCCGTCTTCGTCCAAGTCTCTGGAAGGACCGAGGATGTCATGTCCCCGTCTCGAGTACCCATTGAAAGCCATGACGTGTGCGTGGTCCGCTGTGACCACAATGAGCGAGTCGTCCTCTGAGAGCAGCTCGGCGGCGCGCGCCACGGCCTTGTCCATCTCCAGCGTCTCGTCCAGCGCTAGCTCTACGAGGTTGTCGTGGTGAGCGTGGTCGATGCGGCCGCCTTCCACGAACAGGAAGAAGCCCTTCTCGTTTCTACTCAGGGATCGGATTGCTATCTCAGTTAGCTCTGCAAGCGTTGGGTCTATCGTGAGATTAGACTGCATATGGTAGTTGAGGTGATTGTTTCCAAACAATCCCAGCAGATAATCTGGCGGTGAAGACAACAACTCAATGAGCTGTGCTCGGGTATTAATATATCGGTAATCAAGGTTTCTTGAAACTTTGTCGTTCTGCCATTCCTCGATCAAGTTGCGGCCATCAGTTCTGGTTCCCTGTGACGTGGTTGGGATGAATTCACGCCGCCCACCTCCTAATATGACCTGGTTAATTTAAATTCGCAGTTACTCTTTGAAAGACTAATATATATTGACCTGGGTCGGTCCCAGGTGAGGGAGGTAGTTGTGTTAATCTCCTGAGAACGTTCGCTGATGACAACGATGCAGATGCATTTTGTGATGTTTTGATTAGATGTTTTTATTTGTAAGTTTAGTGATATTTTAGCCTTGGTTATCCTAAGTAGAATGTACGTCTTTTTTAATAAATACTATTTATTTGTATAGTTATCTATACAATCTATCCCCATACCAACAGACTGAAATAAATGAAACTGAATCAAAATTGAAAGTAAAGAGGCCGAGTTAGGGAGTTAGCATTATTAAATAATGTGAGCCACCGAGCCGCAGAGTAGGGGTAAGTGGGTACTGACTTTGAATTGGTTGCCAGGCCGCATGTGCACGAGCTGGTGCGCGATGTCGGGGCAGCGCGCCGGGTCGTGGCCGTCCTCTCTGACCTTGGCGTCGTTCTCCCAGTGCCGGTTGGCTACCTTGGCGTACACGCCGGCCGGGGACGCGTGAGTGATACGCGTCGTCGTCACGATCCCTGTCCGATATATTTCAGTACATGAGCCATTTGAACTAACACTCATAGATTTTTGCAGCTGCTGGGCTTACTGGCCGTCTGTATTACGTCTGTTTACATGGACATAGCTTTTTGAGTTTTGCATAAAAAAGGTATCGGATCTAGACCAGAGTGAGATCATGGTGTTAGCTCCCTTGTAGATTAGAACTCACCGGCGTCGCGGCCGTCTGCGAGGGCCCACTCAGCGATGGACTGCACGTGCTGCGTGGTGTCGGTGGACGCGTCGCAGTCCCAGCGCGGCACGGCGGCCGTCAGCCCGAGCGTGCCCTGGTTGGCTTTTACGCCACACAGGTACGCGGTCGCTGAGCACGAAGAATCCGCCACTTGAGAGTTCACGCAGTACGTCTAAACAATCATATTTTATATTATTCATCGTACATTTATGATACGCAAATAGAAATATTGTACTGCGACGTTAAACTCTGTCAGGTCATAAAAAGTACTTTTTTAGTGTTTCATCAGATGAACCTGTTACACTAGTAACTGAACCTTTGACTCCAAACTGTTGAAATGTTGAAGTTTGGATTCGGAAGATGATGTGTTTTTGTTACGCCGTGACAACAAATCTTTGATCATCGATAGTCTCGCTTAGACTCGAGAAAGGCTGGACTGATATGGTTTTTATATATTATGGAAGACTTAAAAGACCCGAAAATAAAAACTGAATAAAACAATGAAATATTACTTATATTAGCGGCACGAAGTTTGCCGGTCTGGTAAAAAAAATATAAATAAACAATAGAATAGGACAATAATTAGTTATAATGAACGTTGAACTGGGCGGTTAATTGGTTGTTTTTGTATTTTTAAGAGAAAACTTGAAATATTCCTCTAGAGAATCAGGATTTAGCAAACCGTGGAACCCATGCGCTGCTGGGACGAGCACTGGTATGTTATACAATTCAAAAAAAAAAAACAGGCGAAACTCCTTCTATTGCATACACATTTCACTCAATTTTATCTCTGTCATCTTTCCTGGTCGGATGACACGTTTCCATCCCTTCACACTTAAACACAGATCACATCTACATATATATATAACATGTATTTTATATAATTATATGCACAAAATTCGGGCGGATTACGTACAAAAGTACGTACGTACTTACTTTGACTAAACCTGAAGTAGGGAACTTCTCAAAGGCGAGTTGCGCCTCCTCGCCGGTGTCTCCACGCCGCTGGCCGAGCAGTGTCCTCGCGGCCGCGAGCGTGGGCACGGACATGCCGTCGCCCAGGAACATGACCACGTTGCGTGCTTTCTTGACGCTCTCTTTGCGCTCCAGCCGGGCTTTGATAGCTGCCTGCGCCTCATCGTACCAGTAGCCAGCCTCGGCCTCGCGGGCTCGCGCCGCCGGCGTACCAGCGGTAGAGTCTCGGCTAGACGGGTGGTAGCGGTCGGCGGAGGGCACGCCGGCGGCCGTCAGCGTTACCAGCGCTAGCAAGAGGAGGAGCATGATGAGACGGTCGACTGGCCGAGTACTACTGCTGCCGCAGTTATAGTGCTTTTATCGCCTTTATTTACTAGCACTTATCTAATCTGAATCCATGTCATTACAGCAACATGCTTACTGAACATGGCCTTCCTGTTACACTTGTGCGTCACATGCGCGTGCGCCGCGGCTATTCAGAACCTTTGCCTGCAAACGGCTTCATTTAGCTCGAGCCGTACGGTATTTATTTTTTGGGTCAAAGATAGAAATTAAAATTTAAGTGTAATTTGGAATATTATAGGTTTTATTGTTATATATAACGCGCATTAAATAGTTCCTAACATAGGTCATAAATGGGATCTGAAATGAGTATTTGTCGAAGAAGTTGTTCTGCTTCCCCAGACAAATGTCCTTTTCAAAACTGCATTCGCTGCATTTATCTAAACTTGCATTGTTATGAATAAGTAAGTGATACGAACAAATCCCTAAAAGTTACCCAACCGGTTCAGTATCCTATTCGGGAATAATGATTTTGGGCAATTTTACTTGACACTGCTTGGAACTACTACACGCAGCTTTATTTCTTTGAGGTCTTGTTCTTGTTTTTCAAGATAAACTGATCTTATCTTAGAGTCGTGTATATTGGACATATAGGTACTTCTTCTGCTAAATCATAAACGTCATTCTTCACATACCGACACTGATCTTTATCAGGCTGATATTCCTCGTACAATACTGTGGCCGCTTCCTAACAGGCTGCTCCCATAATGTTTCCAAATTCTCTAATTTTTTATAAGGACGTGTTATTCGTTCCTTCGGTGATTTTTTTAAGTTGACATAAGCATTATCTATTTTAGCAAATATAATTATACTAAGTCTAACAGATGTTTTACTGACCTCTAAACCTCTAAAGACTAAATTTCGCTACAAATTATTTATTTTTAATAAAAAGTTATCTCGATAGGCATAAACCAAAAGACAAATAAAAAAAGACAAAATCAAGACAAATATTATTATTATTTTTAAAGTCGATACTACATTACTTAATTCAAAATAAAAAATGCAAGAAAATTTTACAAGTCTTTACGGAATAGTCTCAACAGAAATCTTTTAAAATTAGGCTGAGCCTAAACACAGTTCAAATATGCTACGTTAATGTACTTTTAAATAAATGTTTTACAAGTTCAATACTTCACGTAAATAGAGTTAAGTATTACAGGGTGTAAAAGACACTTAACGAAGCCGATAACTACGCATACTGCAGCCCTAACTAAGTAGCTTTACGCTAAAATTGTCACTGGGAAACGACTTTTATTTTTAGGTATCAAAAAAAATATATAAATTTATTCGCGCAATGTAAAGCAAACGGCCTTCGTGTCATTGTGTGCGTAGGTTCACAGCTTAGCATTAAAACGCTGTGATAAGTACGTAGGTCGACGTTTTACTTCGCAACAACAAAAAAATTCTGTAAAATAAAAATCCTACTGAGATGCACGATGTTTTTTGTGCGGGTCTGCATTTATTTATTACGTACATTACTGTTCGTAACTTCAAATGCGTAATTTATTTAGAATAATCGAAAATTCAGGTAATGTTAATGCTAATAAAACTTAGAATTCGATTGTGCAAAAAAAAAGTAAAAATGCACCTTTGACCTTCAATATCTCGAGAACCCGTGGAGTCCCAGCTATGTTCTTAAAGAAAAAAAATATCCAAATAATGGGTAGCGTACGTGGCTTTTCGCTTCGTTAAGTGTCTTTTTACATCCTGTATATTTTTACCTATATGTAGTCAAGAATTCTTCCACAAAACTAACTTTTATGATTTCACTAATAAAAGTGACTTTGTTTTTATAATAACTATCGTAAGACATACTAAATTAACTAAAAATCGCGGGTTACTTACGTGTTTAATATTGAGAAAAGCTCTACTAGTTTCAAACCACAGAGAAGAACCCCTCTGTGGTTCCAAACTAGTAGAGCTTTTACATACACGTGAGTAACCCGCGACTTTTAGTTAAAACTCACTTTGCCGCACTGATTCTGCAGCGCTCACGACCGTCACAAGGTTGAGGATATTACAGTAAAACTATGTCACAAGTTTTGTATCTCTATATTCGCTACTAAATAAAGTTTTAATTATTGCGAACCTAGTCAACTCACGGAGAGTCTTGACACCGTGATTCAGAAAACGTGGCTCATCTATTTTTTTTTAAATATTACAATACCTGGGTATACACAACCGGATTAAGTATATCAGATATATAAGTGAGATGTACAATCATCTTAGACTAAAGAAAGTCAACAGGATTGAGACAGCAAGTAGCAGGACAGGCTGGCCCAGCACGTGTGTGGCGCCGCTGCAGGCGTGTCTGCCGGGGCCGATGCAGGCGGCGTACGCCATGAGGTGCGGCAGCTGGCTCTGCTCGTACAGCCCCGTGAACATGGAGTGGTGCGGCCCGCGCGCAAACACCGCCACGTCGTCCCCACCGTGCGTTTCATAATTCAGTGGAACGTCTACAGGTGAATGCCACGTTAACGTACCTGTAATAAATAGCCGAATTGGTAAGCCAAAGAATGGCTATCTATATGAAAAAGTAAAAATGGATTGATATTTATTGTATTTACCATAATCTTCTTCATCGGTCACGTTAGGTCGACCACCTCCGACATGAGGGCGAAACCCGGGTCCATTAGTGTATGACAGTGTCATGTAAGGCATGCCGTCCCACGTGTAATTGGCATATGTTACAGAAGTGCCCAGGATGTCATTACCACGTGGCGCATACCCATTGTATGCCATGACGTGTGCGTGGTCCGCTGTGACCACAATAAGCGAGTCGTCCTCTGAGAGCAGCTCGGCGGCGCGCGCCACGGCCTTGTCCATCTCCAGCGTCTCGTCCAGCGCTAGCTCTGCGAAGTTGTCGTGGTGAGCGTGGTCGATGCGGCCGCCTTCCACGAACAGGAAGAAGCCCTTCTCGTTTCTACTCAGAGACCGGATTGCCACCTCCGTCATTTCAGCCAATGTAGGCTCTGTTGTTTTATTAGCTTTCATATTATATTGCAAATGACCACTCTCGAACAAGCCCAACATGTACTCTGGCAAATCAATTTTGGCACGCATTAACTGCTCACGATGCCAAATATACTCGTGCTTCACGGTACGGTCACTCTTATCCTGTTGCCATTCTTGGATTAAATTCCGATTATCTGTCCGGCTTCCAAACATTCCTTCTTCATCGCGAAAAGAGTTTGGCAAAAAGTTGGCTCTACCTCCACCAAAGATAACCTGAGAAAAAATAGCAAACAAATGATTCAGTCAAAGGATTTATTTGCTCTTGAATAGGATAGAAGGTGTTACAATTTATCAATAAGTTCAGTATTCAGTCATAAGATAATAACATGCAAATGTTTGATAACAAGTTTTTTATATCATAAACAGCAGAGTATCTGGGCAGGTGTTGGTGCTTACCTTGAGTTTGTTCCCGGGGTGGTTGTGTATCAGTTGGTGTGCAATGTCGGGGCAGCGGTTGGTATCGAAGCCGGCCTTCTTAACAGCTGCGTCGTTTTCCCAGTCTCGGTCAGCAGACTTAGCATACGCACCAGCAGGAGACGCGTGGGTAATTCGCGTCGTTGTCACGATACCTGTAAGGCATGGCCGCATGTCCATTTCCTATTAAATCAGGCCGAGTAGCAAGTGTATGCAGTGTCAGTAAATATGCATCTAGTCACCAGCATCTCGTCCGTCCGCGAGGGCCCAGTCGAGGATAGACTGCAAATGTTTGGTTGAGTCGGTTGAGGCCTCGCAGTCAGTTCGCGGTACGGCTGCGTTCACTCCCAGGACGCCATAATTCGTTTTCACTCCACACAAGTACGCAGTGGCACTGCAGGCCGAATCAGCTGTCTGAGCGTCCACGCAGTATGTCTACAATATAAATAAAATTGTAAGGTAATGGTGTAAAGCGAAATGAACTGGGAAGCCGTCTTTTCTTCCTGCGTAGTAGTGGTGCTAGCAAAGAACGAGGCACAGAACGCGAGGGAACTATCTTAATCACGCCCTAGTCGCCGCAATAGCAGGCACGCCGCGCGTCGGGGATTGAGCGACGATTTCCCTTCTACCTTAGACGGGGCCCTACTGAGCTGATGTTCAGCCAGGGTTGCGGGGTAACCGCAATAAAGTACCGTGGTCTCGGACTGGAGCTAGAGAAAGAGAGATGCAGTTTTTAGGCAGCACGAGTCTGACACTGCCTATAGCCTCACCATGGGCAAGAGAAGTCACTTGACGATTTTCCACATTCATATTGCGTTCAAAATAATTTTCCTAGGAAGTATTTATAAAGTTCTTTTTTTGAGATGATTTCCATACTTACTTATTTATATCACACGTTTGGGTTAAAGGAAAAAAATCTGAGCCTACTTTAACTGAAGGGGTATATAAAAAAACACTTTTTATCCGCTAAAGGATAGAGAGACATACAAACAGACAGACATGGCGAAACTATAAGGGTTCCTATTATACTACGGAACCCTAAAAAAGGTATGCGTAAAGAGTAAGAGAGAGAGGGAGAGCCAAGCTTCGGCACGAATGGGTTGGCTCGACCGGAGTGATACCACGGCCTCATAAAATTCGGCATGAAACAACCACAGCGTCGTGTTCCGCCATTGAGTGAGGTTACTGGAGGCCCAGTAGTGGTTAGTCAGTAAGTAGGTAGGAGCTTTTCATGATTGTGACATATTATTATCGATTGATAATTATTTTACCTTTATTAAACCAACAGTAGGAAAAGTATCGAACGTCATCTGAGCCTCCTCGCCGGTGTCCCCGCGCCGCTGGCCGAGCAGAGCGCGCGCGGCCGCGAGCGTGGGCACGGACATGCCGTCGCCCAGGAACATGACCACGTTGCGCGCCTTGCTGGCGGTCTGCAGGCGTTCGAGGCGGGCCTTGATGCCTGCCTGAGCCTCGTCATTCCAAAACTTTGAATCCATTTCTTCGCGCTTGGCAGAGCTAGTGCGACTGCCTGGCCCGGAGGGGTGGTAGTGGTCACTGAGAACGCATCCCAGTACAGAAGCGGCAGTGACGACTGCTAGTAAGTAGAACGATCCCATGGCTACTAGAGTAACTGGAATTAGCTGATGATTTATTGTTTTTATACTGGTCCGAATCTAATCTACGGAAACTAATTATCAAAAGTAGAAGATACCTACTGATGAAAGGCAGGAAGCAATGGTTTATTATAATGGATCGCTGTCTGCAGCGTATTTGATCGATTTCTTGATTGTACTTGCCAATGATGATAAAGTTAATATGTCCACCCGCTGTAAAAGCAACATTCGCAATTGTTACAAGAAATGCAGTATGCTTTATTTTTTTTTATCAGGGGAAAATTATCAAATTACTTTACGCGCCCAGAGTATAGTAAGAGAGAGTGCCTCTTACTGAATAACCCCCCCTCTTTTGTTTTCCTGCTTTACGCTGAGGCCGCGGTGCATCATTTCGCTTGCAACGCAACCTCGGCTAAAGATATATCTATTGGCTCTTTAAGGCGCGAGCGGAACGCTACGCGCCGTACGCTCGGTTCTGGTGATCGTCTCTCGATTCCCGACGCCCGTAGTGTCGCCTAGCGCGGCGGCTGATGAGGAGGAGGTGGATATCTCACTCATGCGCTCCGCCTCCTTCTTTGCGAGCATGACTGCTTTACAGAAAGAGGAGACAGCTTCCCAGTTCCTCTCGCTACGCACCATGACCTCGACTAAGGCCGGGCGCGAGAGTTCACCAGAGGTGCTCAGCTCAAACAGGGCTACCGCCACCGTATGATCCACCGTGTCCTCAGGATGGTCCTCACTATGACGACACTTGACCGTTTCCTCTCGCTGGATCTGACGCAGGAACCTATCGAAGCCGTCGTGCCCGGTAAGCACCAGTGTCAGGCGGAAGACGAGGACGCCATAGCGTCTCTCAAACCTTCTTCCTCAAAGAGGGTCTTACCGCTGTTATAACAGTGTGCCCCAGTATGTTTTAGTTAGACAGATAATACAAAAGTCAAAAATCGTTTATTTCAATTAGACCACAGTAGGCACTTTTGAACGTCAAGCAAGCAAAAAAGGAAAAAAGTATATAACAAGAGCTTTAAAATTAAGCGTGTCAGTCTGTCCGTCTGTCCTCTAGTGAAACTATTTGCTCGTTCCAAAGTGTAGATTCCTATGGAGAAGAACGAGCAAGAAACTCCATGGTTACTCTTTTTCAATCAGTTTTACAATACATTTCTTTGTTACATCATTTAGTCGGTTCTGATATGTGAGAACAATGTAACACTAATGTTCAGGCAAAAAGTACGAAAAAGAAGTGAACCTCAAGGACAACATATTTAGACAGCCTGGAGATGACCAGTCCCAATAGGCGGCGCCAGTTCACGAACATGACACGTACACCAGCCACCCAACTCAACCATATTATAGGGAATTGGGCGATCCAGTGCCCGTGCCACCGCCAATGAGACCTCTGAGTGAGCATGACAGCTCCCAGCCGACACAAGTACCTATATTCTACAAGTCTTACTTAATTATAATAGGTTACAGGGCACTCACATTTACAAAAACTTAGAAGTTCATCAACAATTAACAACATAGTGTACAATTTAATAATTAAAATTAAAAAAATACTCTAAACATCCTGTGGAGTAGGAACAGCTAGCCTCCAAGCATTTTTATCTTGTATAATATAATCATTTAGTTTGTAGTATGCTAGTTTACATTAATGTTTCTTTATACATAATTTATATTTCATCATCATCATCATCAGCCTGTTGTCGTCCACTGCTGGACATAGGCCTCCCCAATTGCACGCCACTGAGCTCGATGTTCAGCTCTTCTCATCCAACCACTGCCAGCCACCCTGCGGATGTCGTCAGTCCACCTAGCTGGAGGGCGCCCTACACTACGTTTGCCTAGACGTGGTCTCCACTCTAGAACACGTTTACTCCATCGGTCATCGGTTCTTCGACAGATGTGACCTGCCCACTGCCACTTAAGTTTGCTAATCCTTTGGGCTATGTCGATAACCTTAGTTCTCTGTCGGATCACCTCGTTTCGAATACGATCCTTCAGAGAGACTCCAAGCATAGACCTTTCCATAGCTCGCTGAGCGACTTTAAATTGGTGGATCAGTCGCACTGTAAGTGTCCACGTCTCGGCTCCGTATGTCATCACTGGTAGGACGCACTCATTGAACACTTTTGTCTTCAGGCTTTGCGGTATCTTTGACGAGAATACCCGACTGAGTTTCCTATACGCTGCCCAGCCAAGCTGTATCCTCCTACGAACCTCCCTCTCGAAGTTGTTTCTACCGAACTGGATAGTTTGCCCGAGGTAGACGTACTCTTGAACAACCTCGAGAGGAGATCCATTGATGGTGATCGGCTCCGGGAGAACATGTTCATTGAACATGACCTTCGTTTTTTGTAGGTTCATCCGGAGTCCGATGCGAGCAGAGGAATCAGCCAGGCTGTTCAGCATATATTGTAAGTCCTGCACGGTTTCAGCCACGATTACAATGTCATCTGCAAATCTCAAGTGTGAGAGATACTTGCCGTTAATATTTAGGCCCCGGCCTTTCCAGCGCAGCGTCTTGAACATATCCTCCAAAGCATTAGTAAACAGTTTGGGGGAAATAACGTCCCCCTGTCTTACGCCCCAATGCAGGTGGAGAGGTTCAGACTGCTGGTTCTGTACTTGAACGACCATAGTGGCAGCATCATATAGATCTCTCAACACTTGAACATACCGCCAGTCGACTTGGCACCGTTGCAAGGACTCCAGAACCGCCCAGGTTTCGACAGTATCAAAGGCTTTCTCGTAGTCCACAAACGCCAGGCATAAGGGCATTTAAATGAAAGCAAATATATAATTTATATTTGCTTTCATTTAAATTTTGAATTTCAACTGGGATTTTATTATAACATTTAACACAGAAACCCAGGAATGACTTATGCACTTTTGCCAATCTAAATAAAGGCTGACTCAATCTATTCCTATGTCTAGTATGATAATAATCATGTTTGTCAGATACCTTTATAAATAAGTGTATGTTTTTCCTAACATACATAATGTTTTCATAAATAAATTGACTCGGTACGGTCAGAATGTTGATCTCTTTAAACTTTTCTCTGAGAGATTCGCGACGACCTAAGTTATATATAGCTCTGACGGCACGCTTTTGCAAGATAAAGATAGACTCAACGTCGGATGCCTGTCTCCACGACAGAATTCCATACGACATGATGCTGTGAAAGTAGCTAAAGTACACTAGTCTTGCCGTGCCTACATCGGTTAGCTGACGGATCTTCCAGACAGCATAAGCTGCAGAGCTCAATCGTCCTGCTAGAGACCTGATGTGGGGCCCCCATTGCAACTTCTCATCTACAGTGATCCCCAGGAAAGTAGTCTCTTTTACAAATTCTAGTTTCTGATCATTTAATAATATATCATCACATAAGTTACTTTTAACATTTGGTAAAATAAATCTAATGAATTTAATTATTTTTGTCATCATCATCAGTCGGTGTTTCCTGATAGTTACAATCTGGGTGTCTTTAAGTCAAGAGTGAATAGGTTACTTCTAGGTAAGCGCGCTCCATCGTCGACCGCATCGTCGCTTTCCATCAGGTGAGATAGCGGTCAAGCGCGAACCTATAATCAATAAAAAAAAAATCATCATCATCATCATCAGGCTATACATGCCCACTGCTTGGCCTCTTCTCACACGGAGTAAAAGCGATTATTAACACGTTAAGCGCCATGCTTGTGTATATGTACATATATATAGGTACCTAGTCTAGCTCTGATGAAGTCGGAAACGTTCGTTTCCAACCAAGACTGCGTGGACCGAGCTTTATGACCCGGCGCCGAGTCTTGCTGGAAGGACCATTGTTGGTTATTGAACATGGTGTTGTTAAGGGGCTTAACTACCTTTTCAAGAATGGTATTTTGATAGACTTGTGCCGATGTTTTGATACCTTTTTCGCAAAAGTATGGCTCAGTAACTCCTTCATAGCTCACACCCCACCAAACCATCACTGAAGTCGGATAATGCCCACGTTGCACTCTGTCGACTAATTGAGAAGCTTCCTTCGAGCTTTGAGGTACGGTCATTTTGTTTGTTAAAATGTTGCTCAGTTGTAAAAAATTTCTCATCCGTAAACAATTTTTTTCTGTGACCTCCATTTGCGTACCGCTTCAGTAGTTGTTTAGATTTTATCACCCTATTCTTATTTAAATTATCATTTAAAAAATGTCCAGTGCGTCTCTTATAGGCTGCAAGTCCTAAGTCGGCTTTTAAAATACGCGACATGGTTGTAGGAGCTATCTTCATCTTCCGAGATAAAATCTTTTGCTTTCGGACAGGATTTCTTCGAATAAAGAATTCCCTTACTGCTTTGACCACCTTTTTCTGTTACAAACAGAGGAGGTCTCATTGTACCTATTTATAGCACACACCGGTACACAAACATTTGACTAATGCCAAGCGTGTGGAGAGTTTTAAAAATTGCATTTGGCTCCATACCCACTTTGTGTAATGCAATCTCTTCTCTTTATCACCCCACTCCATTTTAATATCGCAGAATATTGAACAATTTATTGGCGCCAAAATAAGAAAACACAATGAAAATATATAAAAAAATGACAGATTCCAAATTCAAATGTAATATTTTGTTTATTTTTAATTGTAACAGTATTTATGGCCAGACTATGTATATGTGTTATAGTAAACTTAGTTTGTAATAATCGCTTTGACTTTGTCTTTGAAATTATAAGTCCATATTTCCCCGCAATGTTTTACTTTACCATAATATTTGTTAGAGCTGCTGTGATGTCTAAGTAGGTAATACTAGTAAGTAAATGGGTATATAAAGTATCTACATATTATAAATCGGAGAAAATCACAATGGAACTTGACAAGTTTAAACCCTACTAAATCGTTGATATTTTTAGTTTCAGAAAACCATCGTAGACCTCTTAAGTGGAGTGGAATTGAGAAAGTAGGAAGCGAAATGTCCACTATGTTCATTTGCTTCCAAGCCACGTAATGTACTTACTTCGGCCTTGAGAGATAAGTGAAGATATGAGTGGAGAGGCCGTTATCTACCCGGATGGGCGATAGTGGCGGAGGCTGCGCACAGTCTCTCGCAAGATGGCCGCCCGCGCCCACATCGCCGCGCTGCTGCTGCTGCTGGCTGTGGCGCGACCCTCGCACGGTACTACTCATTCGCTGCTACTGACTCTCAAAGTATCACGAATCCTGAACGATTTGATTCTTGGATTCTCACGTTACACATTTTTGTTTTTTGATCAGAGCGAGATGTGTATCACAAGTTGTCACGCAGTGTCGACACGATCACGCCGAACATTCCCGAGGCAGAGCTCGATCAGCAGTTCTGGTACGATGAGGCGCAGGCAGCTATCAAAGCCCGGCTGGAGCGCAAAGAGAGCGTCAAGAAAGCACGCAACGTGGTCATGTTCCTGGGCGACGGCATGTCCGTGCCCACACTCGCGGCCGCGAGGACACTGCTCGGCCAGCGGCGTGGAGAAACCGGCGAGGAGGCACAACTTGCCTTTGAGAAGTTCCCCACGGTTGGTCTCGCTAAGGCAAGTATTATAAAAAGCATCTGTATTCAATACTCATGTGTACATAGAATACACTCATACGTGTGTTTTACCTCTCGTCTGCCAGTATTTGAGACACAACAGAAAATACGTTATGTCTCGCGTATATCTGCGCTACAGCATATCACGTGTTAATATTGCAGTGGTTTTCAAAAACAGTTTTCGTGAATACTGTTCTCAAGAAAATACAAATAGTTGACTATGACATGCCACGACCTGTACATATTACTCGCCATAAGTATAATTTGTTGTGAAGGTCACGGCTCAAGTCGAATAATCTCACTATGGTGATGTCACCGGCGCGTGCGGCGTCCCTACCCTCACCGAAACGATGACCTACGTTCTAGTCAAATCGAATCAAATTTATTTGTAAAACATAGGTATTAATTACATCATGGTGTTGGGTAAACAATATTTGGTCGCTATGTTTTGCCGTGTAGGCGTACAAATTTTTCACATGATAATTAAAATAAAACAATACAACTAAAAAAGTAAAATCAATTAATAATAAAATTAAATAAGTACTTTAAACAAAAACAAAAAACTATGTTTAACAAAAACATAAAAATTAAGAAACACAAAAAGGTAGGTACAGCAGTCTTACTAACACACTTGAAAACACCTTAAAAAATATCATTATTAAATTCTTCAACAGTATAATAACACTTATCAATTAACAACAAATTTCAATAGAGGCATGTTTTTTATTTCGTCAGGTATTTTATTGTAAATTTCAGGTGGCATACCAAAAAAACTTTTTCATTAAAGCGGTTCTGCATTTTATGCCGTACAACTGATTGCGGTATTGAGATCGCATTGGAGTCTTTTTGATCTCTGAAAATTGTTTAAATAAGTGTCAATTGATTTTAACAAACGAGGCAGTCCCATATGTGTACATACCTGGCATTGTAAGTAATTTTAAAGATTTGAAAAAGGGTTTACCTGATTCTGTAGTTTTTAAGCGACACATTGACCGAATACATCGTTTTTGCGCTATAAAAACGGTCTCTCAGTTGATTGCCCCCAAAAAAATAACACCAAATCTTAGAATTGATGCAACTAAACCGTGATATGCTATTACAAGTGTGTGTATGTTTACCTGTTTTGACAGCTGAAATAATGCATATGCGGATTTATTTTATTTCAGACAAATTTCTTCGATATGGGGTTTCCACGTTAGTTTGCTATCGATTGTTACACCTAAAAATTTTGCTTTGTTAGTATCTTCTACTTTGCGATTTTCATGAGTGACTTGAACTGTAGGTTTTCACATCTTTGATGAAAATGCATTACTTTTGTTTTGTTTAAATTAATCACTAGGTTGTTGCTATCAAGCCAGTTTATCATTTTATTGAAACAGTCATTAATATCATTCTCATAATGGACAGGACTAGTACACTTTACAACAGCTGTACTGTCATCGGCAAAAATAACCATATTATGAGATATCACATTTTGAAGATCATTTATATATATTAGAAAAAGTAGCGGCCCTAGCACGCTACCCTGAGGAACCCCGTATTTTATAACCCTTGGTTGAGATGTGTAAATGGTTACTGAATTGGTTTTTGAACATACCTGTGATATTTCTGTGCACTGACTTCTGTTATCTAGGTATGACTCCAAAAGTTTCAAAACATTTCCTCGTATTCCATAGCCATACAGTTTTTTATTATCTGTCCAAACTAAATCACGATGTGGCCACTAGATAGTCAAACATTTAATAATGTAACTCCTTGCTCCTTACTTAACGTTTAGCAAATTATTTTATTGGCAAGATACGACCACGATAGAACTCTTTGATGAGGGAATCGTAAGGGAACATTATAGTGCAAGATCCCAGAATCCCCAAACTACTTTTTCAACAAATATATTATGTGAGGTTAGTATTAGAGTGTGCAGTGAACGTATCGTAGTGTCGTGTCGTACATACGCGAGCTTAGAGGGACGCGCGACGGCGGCCAATTTGCAGGTGCAGTAGGTATGTAAAAATATTCTTTATAACCCACATAAAATTTTGATCACAGATTATAAATAGAATCTTTTACTGCCAGATTCCTGTCGTCAGAATTTATTTATTTTATTTATTTAGGACATCCAACAAATCTAGTTACACTAGTTACAATGTTCTTATGATATCTTAAATCTTAGGCTAAGTGTAGACTTCATTATAGGTTGCCACAGCATGCATAATTCATATGTGGTCAGATCTATGTTACTTATTATAGGTTTTTTCTAAACAAAGAAGAAAATGTTAAGTAAAAAAAAAAAAAACAAAAAAAAGGTTGCTAGTACATTCATAATTTACTGCACCAGGATACAGTTTCTCTTAATTGCTTAAAGAATTTCGGATTCTGGTATTGTGTATACCACTTGCTTCAAGTAGTTTTGTTGGCGAGCAGTCCCCTAAGATGACACTGTCTCCGACTGCTGCACCACTGGTCAGTGACCAGTGGTGCAGCAGTCGGAGACAGTGTGTGGTGCTTGCAGACGTACTGCGTGGACGCGCAGGTCGCGGACTCGGCGTGCTCGGCCACGGCGTACCTGGGAGGCGTGAAGGCCAACATCGCCACCATCGGCGTGAGCGCACGCGTGCAGCACGGCGCGTGCGCGGCGGCGCGCGACCCCGCCCACCACGTGCACTCCATCGCAGAGTGGGCGCTCAGCGACGGACGAGACGCCGGTACTTGACCATCATTACACTGCTCGCTCAGTATGCAAGCATTCACTTACTGTCACTTCAGTACGATATCTATATTAGTATATTTATAATCACACAATGTAGATTGTTTGTGTTGAAATAGTTTTAATTCAATATAACAATTAGTAAAATAGTAAAACAAAAGGTTAACCCTGTTAGGACTCCATGGCCAAGCAATGCTAAAAACGAATATATGAGTGGTTTAGGCAGACGGCGACGTGAGCGAGGTGTGTGTCGCCAGGTATCGTGACGACGACGCGCGTGACGCACGCGTCCCCGGCCGGGGCGTACGCGCACACGGCGCACCGCGACTGGGAGGCGGACGCCGACGTCGCCGCCAGCTGCGCGCCGCCGCTGCAGGACGACATCGCGCTGCAGCTCGTGCGCTCCTACCCCGGGGACCACTTCAAGGTCATACTTGCCATCACACACGCTCCCATACAATGTATCCTTTATTGTAATAATAATAAAGCCCAGTAAAACAGTAGGTAAATCCGAGCAAGTCTCACACCCAAGCCCTGAAAAAATAAGAGTCACACAACCGAACAATCATTAATATAGTCTACCAAGTAATGAAACTGACTAATAGTGCTTACTATGGCATGATCAAGAAGCCCAGCGTAGTTTGAAGCTCTCGAGCAAGAGTGAGTGTTAACTCCTTATGTAGGTATAAATTTATTTCACAGCAATGAACGAGAGAGAACGAGAAGCTCGAAGAAAAAGGGATTTTGAGTTTCCCAAGAAGGCGTATTGTATCACATTGGGCAAATTGATGTAAAATGCCAGTCCGTCGCAGTTATTGAATACATATTATTCAATGTCTATTTTATCTTATCAAATATGTGTTTATATTTTGATGGCTCTCCCACATTGATTTGTTTTTGACGTGTTTGGAATAACGCGGATTTTTACACATCGACTTATATAACTTTCTGTCTGATCAAAATAATGGAATTGGTATTGTTTAGGTAATTTTAGGAGGAGGGCGTCGAGAGTTCCTACCAAATTCCACAATCGACGAAGAAGGCTCGAGGGGTAAGAGATTGGACGGCAGAAATTTGATCGAGGAATGGCAAGAGAACAAGCGAGCGCGGAACGTCAGCTACCAGTACGTGTGGAATCGCGACCAGCTGATGGAAGCGTTAGAGGAGCTGCCCGAGTACTTGCTGGGCTTGTTCGAGGGCAGTCACATGCAGTACCACATGCAAGCCGACCCCACCACCGAGCCCACGCTGGCGGAGCTCACCGAGGTGGCCATTCGCTCGCTCAGCCGAAATGAAAACGGATTTTTCCTTTTCGTCGAAGGCGGACGTATTGATCATGCCCACCATGAAAACTTGGTGCAGCTGTCGCTGGACGAGGCAATAGAGCTGAGCGAGGCGGTGGCGCGCGCCGCCCAGCTGCTGTCCGAAGAGGACTCGCTGCTGGTGGTGACGTCGGACCACGCGCACGTCATGACCCTTAACGGGTACACCCACCGCGGCAGCGACATCATCGGTCCCTCCGATGATAGAGGGGACGACGGCGTGCCCTACATGACGCTGTCCTACGCGAACGGGCCTGGCTACCGGCCGCCCTCCGACACGGGTCTCCGCGATGACATTACCCAATACAATTACCGTAAGTTTTACCTTACAGCGGCTAAACAGTTACCGTATAATCATTATTGGTACAACTGGTAGTTGTTAAAGTTTTATCTAAAATTGCATCGTCGTAAAAGGTAAAAGACCTTCTTTGTTCCCATGTTTTGCAGATGATGTAAACTTTGCGTTCCCGGCGAGTGTACCACTGGACTCGGAGACGCACGGTGGGGACGACGTGGCGGTGTTTGCGCGCGGGCCGCACCACTCCATGTTCACGGGGCTGTACGAGCAGAGCCAGCTGCCGCACCTCATGGCGTACGCCGCCTGCATCGGCCCCGGCAGACACGCCTGCCAACATTGACGAACAAACATATGATACTAAACCATACTGTACCACTAGAATAGAATCACTCTATCTCGTTATTATTTAGGCAAGAGATAGTAAACAGGAAGTTGATCATAATGGTGGTTGTTATTATTTATAAAGTCTGAAATATATAAATAAAAAAAATATGTGTCAGGAAGTATACATTAAGTGTATACTTGATATATAATTATAGTTATACGAACATTTGCTTAATAATGCATACATTGTTTCCACCAAAGTAAATACCTATATAAGCTTTCCATCATCTAAGTTGGTCGACCGTTTCGCCGTTTCGTTTCTATACGCACATCCCTCTACTTCCCTTAGTAAACATGTATAAAATGATTGCAGCGGTAACTGATTTTGTTTGTTTTTACTATAAAATATCGCGATTGGTTTCGTAATATATTGTTATCAAACTAAAAATTGATTATTATCTCTATCAACAACACTACACAATCAGATAAAGTCTTTGTCGTGAGTGAGTCACATTGTCGCTATCGGTACAAGGTCGCGGCCTCCGAACATGTGGCTGCACTGCATGTGGTAGGTACCGACACTACGACCAAACTTAGTTTTTATCAAAAAACTATCAAATCTCTACAATTACCCAATAGCTTGGCGAATGAAATGACCGATTCATTTCAATAGAAGCTAGTAAGAAGCTGTTTAACGTTCGCTTCTGAACCTACAACCTGTTTTATTACCACGCTAAATCTGGTTACAGTCCTACAATTAATTAAATCAATTCTTCGTTATCAAGTATCTTCATCCTTCGTTAACAAGTAAGCCCGGTCACTGGTGGTCGGCGTCACGGAGAATTAAACTTTAACAGCTTTCTTAGTCATGTGTAGTGGCGCCCACCGTGGGACTGTTAAAGTATTGTACGCACCAGTTCCTCATACTCAACTGGTTCAAACCACTGGTACGCAGTGGTGGTGCGACGTGAAGGCGGCACCTGACAGAATTGAATAAAAGCCGCGATCGACAACCGCCAAAAGTAGACAAACTTTGCCAATTACATAAATTGCTCGTCTCTCATTAAGCGGACAGCACGCGGGAAGTGCGCCCCAGGCCCCACTGCGCGCCCCTGCCTGCTCCGCGACGCATCAGTATTCATTAAAAGCGCAATTAGTAGAGTGCATAGCCCTCGCGAAGGCGCGCCGCTCCTCTCAAAGTGAAACATTACGAAAATGTCATTCGTCAAAATTTCCCCGAAGAGAGTCGAGTCCGGGCGAGCTGTCGGCCGGGCGGCGCCCCCCCTCCCCCGCCCCGGGCCCAGCCCGCGCGGGGTGCGAGGGCTGCACTCCGGCAGTGGCGAGCGTCCGCCCTCGCAGCTCGCGCGCCTCGCGCCGCCTCCCGTCGCCTCGCGCTCTGCCGCCGACAAACTTTCGTCGCGCGAACCGACTCTAACTTTCGTCTCGTGTCCCAGTACTGCGGAGTTCGGTACGTGAAATGTGAATAGTTAAATGGGAAAAGTGCAATTTTGTTTGTGATAGTGAATGTGCATACTATTAAGCATAAATTTGGGAGTGTTTCACCAAACCAATAGAGTTTTTACAACAGGTAAACGTTTATCAAATCTTCGTGCTTTACTGTTACACTTGTTTTTAATGTGTAGTGGCGCCCACCGTGGGACTATTAACACTTCGTGTGTTAATACAGTACTATCTTTGGGCTTTTGGTGTATGGTTCAAGCCATCGCTTCTCAGCTTCTTGACGGCTGTGTATGAATCTGTGAACAAAGTCTTGATTGATCCATGAGGTTTCATTTTCTATTAAGTTAAGTACACAAGTAAAACATTACTATGTGAGCTTATAGCTTGCTGCTCTTGGTGGATGTCGTGTACACTTGCGAGCTCAACCAGAGTGATACCACGGCGCCAAAGAAAACCGGCGTGAAATAACCGCGGCGTTGTGTTTCCCCGTATGAGTGAGGTTACCGGGGGCCCAATCCCTAATTATCCCCAAAAGGCCGGCAACGCACTCGCAACTCGTTTGGTGTTGCGGGTGTTCAGGGATGGCACCGATTGTTTACCATCAGGTATCCCGTCCGCTCCTTTACCGACCTATCCCCTACAAAAAGGTAATGACACTAGAAACACTGCGCCACCGCGCATTTATTTATTTATTATTTATCACTATTGCAATCCACATAGACAGAAAAACTTTTACAAACCTTTGGACGGAGCTGTAAAATATTTTGTGCTTACTGGTTTTTTTTGTGAGGAGAAAATCATCAAATGACTTTTCCCGCCATGGACGGGAGGGAGTGTCAGACTCTTACTGGCTAAAACCCCCCCGTTCCTTCTCCTGCTCTGGGCCGAGGTCGCGGTGCCTCATTGCGCTTACCCCGCAACCTTGTGCTTACTGGTGGCCATATCATCTTGTGGCTTAGCACATCTGAAGCATTGTTAGCAAGCGAGCAGCGAGCTCTCACACTCCAAGTGATCCTCTAGACACCACGCAGGGTAGAGCATTACGTTTGTCTGTCGTTTCTAAACATTCGAACTACATAATACGTATTGCTAGCTGGCCCGGCAAACGATGTTTTGCAATATTGGGGTATGAAAACTAGCCAGTAGCCAATTTCTGAAAATTGGCTACTGGCTAGTTTTCTTTTTTTTTGGTTTTTACCAAATTTTGTATTATTCTGGTTTAGAGCCAGTAGCGAAGGAGTAATGTAAGTAACATTTATGACATGAGAATTGTATACGTAAGACATACAACATCTTTAATGATATGTTTGTATAAAATATCTGATAATTGGTTCAGGAATAAATAAATGTGTCACAATTATAATATACTTTTATCAGACTACTTTAAAAACTCTTAAAAAGTAACATTTTAGTCCAAATAAGTGTGGGAGAGCCATGCTTCGGTACGAATAGGTCGGCTCGACCGGAGTGATACCACGGCCTCACAGAAAACCGGCGTGAAGCAACCACAGTGTTGTGTTTCGCCGTGTGAGTGAGGTTACCGGAGGCCCAATCCTTCCCCTCCCCTTACCCTTCCCCAATCCCAAAATCTCCAAATCCCTAATCCCTAAAAGGTCGGCAACGCACTCGTAACTCCTCCGTTGCGGGTGTCCATGGGCGGCGCTGATTACTTACCATCACGTAATCCGTCTGCTCGTTTGCCGACTTATTACATAAAAAAAGGATATTAAAATACAGTAGGTGAGCAAATAAAGCTCTCTCAATGTCTTGGAGGACCGGAGGTTAAGGTGCGCGTACCTCATGCATAAGGCCGTAGATTTAATACCTGTCAAGCACTAATGTGACTTTTGGCGAGTTATGTGTACTTTTACAATTTTAAATCGCCAAACCACCTTGAGCAAGCTTTGTGACTCATGCTCAAACCTGCTCCTTGTTAGAAAGTTTCTCACTTGTGGGCACTTATACGCTGATGATGATGATGTTTCCAATAAAGTTGTGAGCTACATAGATCATACAAATTACTTAATGTATCTGGTACATACACACTAGCTACACATACATTGTAAAATTAGTTGTGGGTATTGCCATTTTCTTAACATGATGTCATCACAGGTTGCTCCTGTTGGGTAATGGTGTGATGGAAGCACCACACGGGGAGGTAGTTCCCCCGCGACCTGCGGCAGCGTGTGCTCACTGCAAGTGTCGCCGTCAATGAGCTCGAACCATGCTCCCACTAACAATAATGCTAGATGGCCCACGTGCATATATATGTACTCGCTATTCAGAAGAAACATTACGGGAGATTCATTATTAAGGATTCATTACGATTTACTAATATTCCCATCCATTGCTCTATGTTCCAGTATGACTTCGTATTATTTTTCTCCTCAAATAATCATTTCACATTTTATATTTCATTTGATGCTGCTTATATTTAAACATGAAAATCTATAAGTATTAATGGATGGATATTTCTGACTTTCTCGTAAATGCTACTTAATGGATTTCAAATGAAGTTTGGCACAAACGTAGAAATAATGGTCTGGAATAACGCATTTTGTCCTACTTCTGCGGGCGAAGTCGCTGGCAGAAACTAGTAAATTAATAATTTTACGATGACGGAGATTCGGTTCGACTCCGCTGAGTGATAGATAGATACAACAGATTGACAGAACGAAAGACCGGCGTGAAACAACGCTGCACCGCCGTGTGAGTGAGGTACACGGAAACCGAATTCCTCTGGAACGCGTTGATTGCTTCCCATCAGGCGATCCACCTATACGGCGGCCCATTCATAAATCATAGTTTGTCTCTATGGTCATCATGTTGGTCAGACACAATACATGGTCGGAGGAAACAATGACATTTTGTAAATAGATTGACAAGTAGCTTAAACTCGCTTTATAAATAATTAGGCACGTCGTTTGGAGTTCTGCTTAGACATAAGATGTAGTAAAGTCATGGATTTTCTTATAATTATGTTTGTGACACCGACTTCCGACCTATGAGTTTCAACTGGTACTCACGAGTAGAGTCTGGTTCTTGCACTTGTATTTATGTTCCCTCCAGTTAGCTAAGATCTATCTTTATATCGTTCTATCATCACGGGAAGACCCCTGTAATATCAGCATTCTAACAAAAATATGAATGAATGACGATATTAACCGGCGAGAAAAACAAAAGAGCTATAAATTACATTAGACATAGCTCGTGTACAATTGAATAGATGTTTTTATGTCGGTGTTTTAGTTTAGTTTCGACGATGACGATAAGAAGAAGCGACCTCCTAAATAAAAAAAAATATGAATTTGAAAGGTATGTATAAGAAATATACACGATGTCAGCAGTCGGTGCTCACAGCTAACTGATAGTGACATGTCGACTGTTAATACTGGTAGAATGCCTGCATGAAAATAAATTTTTATGCGTTTTATGTTTTAGTGAATTCCTTGTTGGCCGAGTAGTGCTTTACTGATATTTTTTTTCAAAAACTACCTACTTAAAATATTATGCATGTTTCTTATGCAAGTCTACCTACTATAGAGTCCAATATAGGTATCTACATATACATTAAAATTTATTATCATTTTTAACGTGATATTCGGAGTTATCCGAAAAAAGGCGTGACGTGACGTAACGCCGTCGTGGATCAACAAACTATGTAGTTCTCGTTCTTCGTTCGTGGAAAGTGATAAAGAATCTATTTTCAGAGATATACTTAATTTAATTGTGAACGTTTATTATACAGGGTGTAAGGGACAGCCTTCCGCAAACTGATAGGGTGGATTCAGTATATCGTCTTAAGTTGACCGGTACATGAAATTATTTCAGGAACGTTATGGGAATCCAATTAAACCGATTTGTTTCATTACCTTACACGCAATGTATCGCTACCACCGCAAACGCACGCAGCGAACGGCAGCGCTTTAAGTATTATTACTTTACACTATGGGCAGCGCCGCGACCTTACGTTCAGACAAACGGTCGCGCTCCCGCCACGTTTTAATAACAATAAATTATTATTTAAAAGATAGCCGCATTACTTACAAAAGACAATGTAATAATCGCGCTCGCGCCACGTTTTAATAACAATAAATTATTATTTAAAAGATAGCTGCATTACTTACAAAAGAAAATCTAACAATCATAACATGGTAACTGATAAATGATAAAAAAAGAAAAATGCGTAGGTACCTTAGAATCGCTCCGGTTTCCGGCTCTGGAAAGCATTTGTGATGCGGTCTCGCATTTCGTACTCACTTGCACACGCACTCACAAACACTTTTTCTTTTACGTAACCCCACAAAAAGGGGTCCAAATGGGTTAGGTCTGGGGATCGTGCTGGCCACGGTTGCGGTCCAAACCTACCTAAACTACGTTTAAATAGGAAAGCACTAATAAGTGGTAGCGTCTCGTTACGTTAGCGAACCAATTCCAAAATCCACGTAGGTATTGGTCTTCCGGCGCCTTTTTGTCTGGGAACAATGGGCTGGTTTTCTAGCAAGCGTTGATAGTCACCAGTAATTATCCTGGAGTCTGATGGATGGCGACGGTCAGGATACCTACACTACTACAACACATTATCATCTCCCCATAATCACGCGCGCTAAACGTACCTAGATAGTAATTTCGCACAATTTCTACAACAAAACTTCACTACACTTCACACACTACATAACTAATAAAACTTAACAACACTACTTATAACAAAACTTTTAAGCCGAATGCGCGAGCGATCCGTACCGATACACGTTCGCGGTACACAAACAATAACACCGCAACAAGGCACAATGGCGACTGCATGGTGATGAGACACACACAGACATAAATCTGTTGTTGCCAATTACACGAAAATTACAAAATTTCGGGGTAAAAAATTAAAAAATTATGCATGGTCGTAATTTATCATTCTGTTATTTTTTGTAGAGAAATGAATTGATTAAATCAATTTAATTCTAATTTCATTGTTTAGTTAATTTAGAATAATAAAAGTGCAGTGTGATAGAA